GGTATTGAGGATGCAGGGCCGGATTTGCGTGCCCAATGTAGATGGGCTTCGGGAGCTGATTTTGGAGGAGGCCCATAGCTCGCGGTATTCTATTCATCCAGGAGCCGCGAAGATGTATCAGGATCTGAGACGGCATTACTGGTGGCGGAGAATGAAGAAAGATATTGTGGGATTTGTAGCTCGGTGTCTCAATTGTCAGCAGGTGAAATATGAGCATCAGAGACCGGGTGGCTTGCTTCAGCGGATGGATGTTCCAGAGTAGAAGTGGGAGCGGATCACTATGGATTTTGTAGTTGGGCTTCCACGGACTTTGAGGAAGTTTGATGCTATTTGGGTGATTGTGGATAGGCTGACCAAGTCTGCGCACTTCATTCCTATCTGTACTACTTATTCTTCCGAGCGGTTAGCAGAGATATATATCCGGGAGATTGTTCGGTTGCATGGTGTCCCAGTTTCCATCATTTCAGATCGGGGCACTCAGTTTACTTCCCAGTTCTGGAAGTCGGTTCAGCGAGAGTTGGGTACTCAGGTACAGTTGAGCACAGCTTTTCACCCTCAGACGGACGGGCAGTCCGAGCGCACTATTCAGATATTGGAGGATATGCTACGCGCTTGTGTTATTGATTTCGGAGGGTCGTGGGATCAGTTTCTACCGCTTGCAGAGTTTGCTTATAACAACAACTACCAGTCGAGTATTCAAATGGCTCCATATGAGGCTTTGTACGGGAGGCGGTGTAGATCTCCAATTGGTTGGTTCGAGCCCGGTGAGGCTAGGCTATTGGGTACAGATTTGGTTCAGGATGCTTTAGATAAAGTGAAGGTGATTCAGGAGAGACTTCGTACAGCGCAGTCGAGGCAAAAGAGTTATGCTGACAGGAAGGTTCGAGATGTTTCTTTCATGGTCGGTGAGAAGGTTATGTTAAAGGTCTCGCCCACAAAAGGTGTTATGAGATTTGGAAAGAAAGGGAAGTTGAGTCCGCGGTTCATTGGGCCTTTTGAGGTACTTCGGAGAATTGGGGAGGTGGCTTATGAGCTTGCCTTGCCACCCAGCTTGTCGAGTGTGCACCCGGTGTTCCATGTTTCTATGCTCCGGAAGTACATTGGAGATCCATCTCATGTTCTGGATTTCAGCACGGTTCAGTTGGAGGGTGATTTGACTTATGATGTGGAGCCAACAGCTATTCTGGAGCGTCAGGTTTGGAAGTTGAGATCAAAAGATATAGCTTTGATGAAGGTGCAGTGGAGAGGTCGGCCCGTGGAGGAGGCTACCTGGGAGACCGAGCGGGAGATGTGGAGCAGATATCCTCGCCTGTTTGAGGCTTCAGGTATGTTTCTTGACTCATTCGAGGATGAACGTTTATTTAAGTTGCGGAGTATGTGACGACCCGGCCGATTGTCTCATGAGTTACCGCTCCGTTTCCCCCATTTCTGCTTCTTTATGCCTTGTTTATCCGTGTTGGTCGGATTGGATTCGGATTGGTTTTGGTAAAGTTTGAGACACTTAGTCTCTTTTAGGAAGGCTTAAGTTGGAAAAGTCAACCGGATGTTGACTTATGTGTTAGAGGGCTCGGATGTGAGTTCCGATGGTTCGGTTAGCTTCGGGAGGTGATTTATGGCTTAGGAGTGTGATCGGAATGGGTTTTGGAAGTCCGGAGTAGATTTAGGCTTAAATTGGCGAAGTTGAGATTTTGGCGATTTCCGGTGGGTAGGCGAGATTTTGATATAGGGGTCGGAATGGAATTCTGAGAGTTACAATAGCTTCGTTATGTGATTTGGGATGTGTGTGCAAAATTTCAGGTTATTCGGACGTGGTTTGGTTGGGTTTTTGATCAAAAGCGTATTTCGGAAGATTTTAGAAACTTAGGCTTGAATCCGATGTGTTTTGGGTGATTTGATGTTGTTTGAGGTGTTTTGATGACTGGAACAAGTCTGAATAAGGTTTTAGGATGTGTTGGTGCCTTGGATGAGGTCCCGGGGGCCTCGGGTGAGTTTCAGGTGGTCAATCGGATCATTTTGGAGTTTGGAAAATTACAGAAAATCTGCTCAGCTGTTGCAGAGAATTATCCCTTCGCATTCGCGAGTGGAGCACCGCATTCGGGTAGAAGGATTTGAGGAAGGCCAGAATTAAGCCTTCACGTTCGCGATAGGGGCTTCGCGTTCGCGGAGGGGTTGGGTAGTTGGTCATCACGTTCGCGAGATGGACCTCGCGATCGCGTAGAGGAATTGGGTCAGCTGTGGTTTGAGGTCTAATGTTCATCGCGTTCGCGGAAGAGTGAGCGCGTTCGCGAAGAGTGGTCTGAGCAAGGCATCGCGTTCGCGTAGAGCAAAAGTTGGTAAACGTAAGTTTGTGCTTCGCGAACGCGAGGGTTTGACCGCGTTCGCGAAGAAGGAAAGTCAGACCTCGGCAGAATGTTTTTAAACTCATCTTGTTCGCGAATGTGGGTCTATTTTCACCCATAGCTGCTCGTTTTTGGAGATTTTTGAAGGAGATTGAAGAGGGATTCAAGGGGAATCGTTGGGAGGTAAGATTCTTGGACTAAAAACTCGATTATTATGTGAATTCCGCCTAGAAAATCATGAAAACTAAGCCAAAAATTGAAGAACTAGGGCTTGAGAAATTAGACTTTTGAATGGGGATTTGAAGGACCATTTGGGGTCGGATTTGAACACTTTTGATATGTATGAACTCGTGGGGAGATAAGAAATCTATTGATGTAAAAATTTCTGAGTTTCGAGAAGTGGGCCCGGGGCTCGGGTTTTGCTAATTTTGGGATTTGTGCCATTTATTGATTGTTTTCGCTTGGGCTTTGTTCCCTTGGCATATTTTGACGTCCTCGCTCTGATTTTGGATAGTTTCGACGCACGTGGAGGCCGATTCGAGGGGCAAAGGCGTCGCGAGCTAGAGATTTAGCCGGTTTGAGGTGAGTAATGATTGTAAATGATGTCCTGAGGGTTTGAAACCCCGGATTGCACATCGTAGTGCTATGTTGAGGTGAGACACACGCTTGTTGACGAGCGTGGGGTCGTACACCATTGGGGATTGTGACTTGGTCCATCCCGGTTGATGATTTTACCGCGTATTTGACTGAAACTTAATTGCTATCACTATGATTTGGGCTGAATGCCATATTTGGGCTTCGTGCCAACTATTTGAACCCTTCGGGGCTTTTTATTGATATTTCCTCACTGTTTTGACTTACTACTTGAACTCGGTCATGTTATTTTCCACTGTGTTACCACTCAGCCATTTTTACTCGATTTTGAGACTTAATGATATTTTAAATGATGTTCTGGGCCGAGAAACACTGTTTTACTATTGCCCGGGGGCTTGTGAGTATTTTTGACTGAGTAAGGCCAAGGGCCTATGTTGTGAGGAGACACTGGTACTGATTTGAGGCCGAGGGCCTGAGATATGTACGCCACGAGGTGGCTTGATTGATATGAGGCCGATGGCCTAGTTTTGATGCCACGAGATGGCTTGTTATTGCGCTTGGGCCGTAAGGGGCCCCTCCAGGAGTCTGCACACCCCCAGTGAGCGCGGGTACCCAGTGTGATATGAGATTGAGCCCGAGGGGCTGTTATTGTTCTAAGATGTTGCTCGAGGGGCGGATGTGGTGATACTGTGCCCGAGGGGCGATCTTTTATTTATTTACTGTACCTTAATTGTTTGTCAATTACCTGTTTACTTGTTGAAAGAGAATTTTACCTGTCTTTTCACTGGTTTACTGTTTTTAAATGATTTTACTGCTTCATTATAGACTGCTTTGTGCCTTGCGTGTTTTCTTACTTTCAGTCATTATTTACATTTGTTACTCACTGAGTTGGAGTACTCACTTTACTCCCTGCACCCTGTGTGCAGATTCTGGCGTAGCTGGTCCCGCTCCCGAGTGCTGATTCATTCCAGCTTGAGGCGGATCTTCGAGGAGTCTTTAGGTAGCTGTTGGCGTTTCGCTGCCTGGAGCTCCTCTCTATCTGTTTATTTTACAGTCTTAGTTCAGTAATTCAAACTCTGTAGTTACCTTTGAGTATTGGGTACTGTTAGATGCTCGTGACCTGTGACACCCCGGTTAGGGCTATGTTGGGTTGTTTCACACTTTATTGACATTATTCGCTACTTAATACTATTAAATCATGTTTTAGACTGTTTTATATTGTTTAACTGCTTAAAAAGGTAAATTGGGTTTAGTTGGCTGGCCTTGTCTTCACGAGAGGCGCCATCACGACCGAGTTGGGATTTAGGGTCGTGACACCTCCTTAATTTTATCTCCAACCCTTAGTCTTGTTAGTTGATAATTTTACTACTTTTAGTATTTGTTAATTAATTAGGTTAAAATAAAAATTACAATCTTTATAACTAGGAAGTTATTTGAACTTGTATTTCTTAGCAATACGTTAAAGTTAAGCTTTGACAAAGTTCAACTTCAGACTAGAGTGTCTAAACTTGAAAACTATGATAATTTCAACATTAAATTCACACGTTTTATTTGGATTGTTGTTATATATCGTTTCATAATTTTATCGTATTGTATTGTACTGTATTATAATATATTATTTAACGAATGCAATGTTTGGATATATTGTATCGTTTGCCATTATTTCATGATGTCACGCACAAAAAACATGAAGAATAAACTTGCAACATTACTAAGAAAAAATAGGATACATAGTGGAATTATTATATAAAAAAGTAAGGTAAAGAATAAAAAATGATTATTTAATAATAAGGAAAGACAATAAAAGAGAAAAAAATAAGAAAATGATGCCATCACACCAAATTCGCCGTTCCATAAAGTGACACTTTACGTCGTTACGTAACAATGATTTTAACGATACGATATAATAATATTTAAATAATAATTTAAATAAATATTGTATTTAAAATAACAATACGATACAATACAATATTTGACAACTATCCAAAAACTTTAAATATTTTAGTAATTTATATTATTTCTTAAATAGGATCCTAAAAACGGCCTCCAACCCACCAACAATTTCAAACTCCAACCTAAACCCCCTTACCCCGCTCTCTGTCTGTCTCTCTCTCTCTCTCTCTACAAAAACCCAGAACACTCACAACTGTCTCTTTCAACTCTCTCAAATATTCCCCTTTTCTTCATTACCAAGCAAAAAACTATTCTTAGCATTCATCCAAAAAAAAATCAAAAAACCATAAATCCCCAAATTTGCGATTTTATTCACATCTCAAAACCCTTCATCATCATCGGATTATGTCGTCGGCAGCCGCCGCCGCAGATTTTCATTCTCCGATCAGTTCCTCCGTTCAATCATCTAACCCTAACTTTAATCCTAATAGCTCTAAGTTCGATGCAGGCTTTGATTGCAAACCGGGTTCGGGTCGATCAAGGCGAAAGCCGAGACTTGTGAAGATGAGGAAACAATCGGGTCCTCGAAATGTGGACCCGAATGATTTGAAGTTTAATCCGGTTAACCCGGTTAACAATGTGAGTTTTGTATTTGGTGCTACTAGTAAGAGTGATTCTACTTTGAATACGAATTTGGATAATTTTAGTGCTGTTTTTAGTGCTAATAAGAGTGATTTTGCTTCGACCTCAGGAGCAGAAATTGGCAGTGAGGGTTTTGGTGCTAGTAAGAATTATTATTCGAATTTGGAGAATTTGGGTTTTGTTTTTGGAGCTAATAATATTACGAGTAGCTTGAAATTTAACTCTAAGAACAAGAATGAGGATCGAATAAATAAGAATAACTTGGGGTCCTATCCAAATGTGTTGAATGAGGCGCCTGCTTGTAGTGAGAGTGATAGTAATATAAAGTCGAGTTTAGAGTTTGGGCAGAGGAAGTCTAATGGCAATGTAGGGAAACCGCAAGTTGATCACATCAAGGTCAAGAATCTTGATAATGTCAGTTCTAGTTTTGTTGTTAATGAATTTGAGTCAGCTACTGATCCAAAGGTCGAGCAAAGTGAGTCTCGTAAAAGTGAGCAATCGGGTAGTTTCCACTTTGGGGAATTTGCTACTGGAAGTACATTGCAGTCGGATAAATTGAAAGCTAACTTTGTGTTTGGTGCTAGTAGACCTAACTTTGACTTGGGGAATGGAGTGTGTAATAAAGATGGAGCAGATAGGGGGTCAGAATCTCAGGGTCCAAAATCGACGGGCACTTTTGCTTTTGGCAGTGGCATTGAAGGAAAAAACAAAGTGAATGAAAATACAAAGCTTGCTGAAGATGTGGAGGATTTTAATAGTGAGAAGACCCAAAATCACAATGGTTGTTGGAGTGCTCAAAAAAGTAACTTGGGTGCTGATGGGAAGCTCAAGTTTACTTCAAGTAGTAGGAATGTTGTGGACACTGATTTACCAAAAGCCCCCATTTTTAAACTCTCTGATGAGATGAATTCATTGAACATTGGCCATTCAGCACAGGTTAATGGTGCTGAGAAGACCAATAACATGAATGAAAAGTCACGTGTCGACATCCAGAATGTATTTGTGTTCGGACTTAACCAAAAAACATCAAATGTTACAACTGAAAGCACCATGCGTAATCCTTGTGATCAGCCCAAGGATTTGAATTTGAAAGATCATGGTAGTGGCTGTGGTGTTGCTAAAGCTGATACAACTGATGGCGAACCAAATGCTAAGAAAGCTTGTGCACCCGAAATTGGTGAAAGTTTTGCTAGTTCATTAAAGGGAATCAAGGACAAAAGGATGCCTGGAGAAACGGTGCATACAAATGCTAAATTTGGTCTTTCCAGTGAGCAAGTAAATTCATTTTGCTTCTCAGCAGGAACCTCTGGGAAGGAAAATCAGCCAATAAATTTTAACACTACGACCGGTACGTTGAATGAATTACTGCAGAATAGTCTAAATAGTGACACGGAGAGGGATAAGATCCCCTTTCCATTATTTACACCAGAGGTTTTTGGTTCCCAGCACAAAGTTGACACCGCGGAAGCACCTCCTGGCCATCAAGATGAGAAAAAGGAAGAGTTCAGCTTTCCAAGCACACCATTTGTACCTGGGACGCCCATTTCTGATTTTAGTGCATCTAATTCTAATATATCGTTTTCTTTTACTGCAAATTTATTTTCCGGAGTAAATGATAAGTTGGGTTGTGGAACAAGTAGCAGATTGAGGAACAAAAAAGTGAAAAAGAAGAAGTCATTGAGGCAACGAACCTTGGCACAGCAGTTGGCTGGGCAGACTGATTCGTCCAACGAAGGCAGTTCTAAGCACAATAATGAGTCTCCTGGATGTTGTTCACCTATGGATTTTTCACCATATCAGGATACAAATTCTTCAACATCTGCTGGTTATTCTACTGGGGCTACTGAAACTAAGGAGGATGTGGTTGCTCCCAAAGAAGCACCTGTTTTCAATGAGTCTGAGAAGAAATGTGGAGAAGGAAATGAGAAATATTATGGGTCTGATTCTGGAAAAGACTCTGATACTCAGAGAGATTCTAGTTCCTATACTTCACCCTTGGCACAAGATGGGTTATCATCCATAAGGCGCCAGTATAGGAAGAAATACAAGTTGAAAGTTGATAGTGGTTCAAACAACTTAAATCACAGGAAAGTCGAGTTTTCGTCTGATGCAGTTCAACATTCTTCCTCTGGTCGCAATTGTTCAGAAGACATCCAAAGCGGAGTTAAATCTCATGTGCGGAGTAAAGGGATTCATGTGTCGAAAGCTGATGAAGATCATGGGAAGCTGGGCCTCACTGATTGTGAATCCTGTGAACAGTGGCGGATCAGGTGCTAATATCTCCGAGGCTCTCAATTATGAATTGCTATGCATGGCAAGATTTCCTTTGAGCTTTTGCTTTTCACTTTTGCTGCAGTAATTTCATCATTCTGGTTGTGTCCTGGCTTTTTCTCGAAGTATCAGATCCTGGCATTAAACAATATGAAATTGTCCTTCATACTTACAAAGATTTTATCTGTGACAGGGGAAACCAAGCTTATAAGGCTGGAAATCTTCTGCAAGCTGAGGATTTCTACACTAAGGGTATCAAATCAGTCTCTGCTACAGAAATTCCAGCCTCTTGCCTGGAGGCTCTTGTGTTATGCTACAGCAACCGAGCTGCCACGCGAATGTCACTTAGAAGGATGAGGGAAGCCATCAGTGATTGTTCATCTGCAGCTGCTTTAGATTCTAACTTTCTTAAAGTAAAACTAAGAGCAGCAAAGTAAGGGCTCTACATCTCGCAACTGATGTCTCTTAGTTCTTGATAACTCTTAAGTATTTGAAGAATCTGCGGTATCTAATACTGATAGAAACGTCTTGTAAAATATGGTCATAGTCTTCTAGCTAGACAATTTTACCGGGTGATAGCAACAAGTTAGACCACTCTAATTATCTATTGAATCTCTGTATACTAATTTTATGATAAATTATTTTTTGAGTGAAATTATGCGAGAAAGCTGGAATTTTGGTATATGTAGAAAATCGGGAATATGCTCTTCGGTGAGTCCTTGATCAGACATCGTTTTACCTTTGAGAATAGTAAATAGTTCTCCTGTATTTGAACTAAAACTGGATGTGTTCTTCCAAATGGGGCAAAGAGATAAGTGGTGAAGAGGTCCAACTATATCCGATCTCATAATTCTTGTTTATAAGTTTAAGTATTTGAAGTGAATGCTGCGTGTTCTTTTAAAAGTGTTATCTTTTCTTTCTTGTTGAGTGAATTATTTGTTCACGAACTTATATATCTTGACTATCTCTGGATGCCAGTTGTTATCTGGTTCTTGGCGAGGTTGAAGAAGCAATTCAGTATTACAACAATTCCTTGGAATCAAGAATAAATTTGTGCCTGGATAGGAGAATTACAATTGATGCAGCAGATGGCTTGCAAAAGGCACAGGTGACCAATTTTTGCTTTTCCCATGGAGTTGATGCTCTAACTATTCCAAATCCATAATTATTTCTTTGTATGCGAACTCTTCTGAGTTTTAGTAATACAAAGTAATGTGAACCAGACACCAATACTTCTCTATGTGGCCTGAACTTGGCATGACTTGTTGTCATATGCAACTCTACTTTTTCACGTATGAAACACTTAATCAACATGCTAGTCAAACTAGGTTAATCAAATTTGAGCGGAGAATGTATGCAGTATTGCCAATTAATTGATTTAGAATAGTAAGAATAGTCGAGGTGTGCACAAGCTGACACCACAATTATCAAAAAAAAAAAAGGAAAAATATAATAATAGTAAGATCTCTGCTTAGGACCTTTGTCCAAAATGCTTGTGGTTCAGTAAGAGATGCTAAAATAATAAGATCGGCAGCTGTTGATGATGAGTTCTATTGGGGTTGTGAAGCATGTGCTGGTCTATAGATGTAGTTTCAGACATTCAACATTGTTGACAAGGAACTTGATTTCCTTCCTTTGTTTGTAAGATGTCTCTAAGCAGAGGCGGAGCCAAGATTTGAAGGTTATGGGTTCGGGGTTCTAATACTTTTAAGTTACTGGGTTATAAATTCATAATTAATACATATTTAATGAATTTCATAAGATAAATACAAAGTGTGGACCAAAGCTACTGGGTTCGGCTGAACTGATGGCTAGCTCCGCCCCTGTCTCTAAGCTACACTGATCATTCTATACAAATTTCTGCACAGTTTTGTATTTATTGGCACAAAGTCTGCTAGTGTCACCGGCATTAGCTAGTTGATTAATAAAGCTCTGCCATTAGCCAAGACACTAATAATTTTCTTTTTTGAGGTGCCCTTCTGAGTGAAGGTACACCAACAACAACCACCCAGTATAACTCCACAAGTGGGGTCTGAGGAGGCTATGGTGTACGCAGCCTTACCCCTACCCTGGAAAGGCAGAGGGACTGTTTCCGATAAACCCTCGGCTAAAGAAGGTGAAAGAAGCCCTGATAGCAAGTAATAGCAAGACAAATAATTAGAAAACTAAATCGAAGATAGCAACATAGAATATGAAAGGGGTACCGGTAACAAGTAATAGCAAGATAATGTATTTAGAAAACTAAATCCAAGGCAACAAACGAGAATATGAACGAAGTACTGCTAGCAAACTACGGAACTACCGATGGCAAGTAATAACGGAACAAGACATGCGAATATAGCAAACTAAGGAAAAAAGGGTACCGTACTAGCACTAATACTATCGAACTAGAGAAGACAAAGGGAAACGCACGACTACCTACTAACCTTCTACCCTAATCTTCAACCTCCACACCCTTCTATCTAGGGTCATGTCCTGGGTTAGCTCAAGCTGCGCCATTGTCCCGCCCGATCACCTCTCCCCAAGACTTCTTTGGCCTACCTTTACCCCTCCTCTCACCTCCCAAGGCCAACCCCTCACATCTCCTGACCGGGGCATCTTTCCTTGTCCTCTTAACTTCCCCGAACCATTCTGAGTGAAGGTAGTAAAGATATTGTTGATGAGTACACGGCCCTGATTTCATGACACTGAAAGAAATATTACAGTGTGACAGTCATCCGATTGTGATGAATTTTACTAGTTTTTACTAAATATTTTTGAGCATATTTGTTGGGCAAAATTATCAAGAGGGAATGTGGAAGTCATGAAGAAATGTTAGGAATAGCTTCTTCTTTTTCCGTTAATCCTCTTTAGGTAAATCTGCTAAATGAAAATTGGCCCTACTTTATAATAACTTCTGGTTCCTTTGGAATTTTCCTACTTTATTTTTTGTTTTATAATTGTGTGAATCAACTCTCCTACTTCTGGTTCTACCGATTCCATGCGTGAAATCAGAGCATATCTTAGATGGTGTCCTGGTTTATAAGCTGCATTGGATTTTGATAATAATGATATGATTTGGTGACCATCATATGTATTGGGATGGCTGGGTGGATCGGATAAAAAAGATGCATAATCAATTTAAAATACAGAAAATAAATCTGTGATAGTATAAAACAAAAACACCTCAAAAAATAATGAAATTATATTTAAAGACTTTGACATAGATTTATTATCCATCTCCAAGATCAATATCATCATTACCATGAACCAACCTGGATTTGATGCTACCCCTGTAGGTTTAGGATCGATGAACCTTGCATGTCCTATGAGAATTCTAAGATACATATTGGAACTGTAAGATATGGCTGTCTCTCACACACTGAATAAACAGTGTCATAACATATGTATTGTCTGGGCCTTTTGAGTTGCATGGTTAGGATATGTATTTTATATTGTTCAATTTGACAACTTCTTCTTCTCCTCAAGGAAGGAAAAGTAAAGAACAATTTGCAAAGCTGATAACCCCGGATTGGGTTCTGAGCTCTTCCGTGATAAAAGTGGCACAGTGAACGAACGAGAAAGGAATGTGCTAAATGGGATTACTGCAATTTATTTGTTTCTTACTTTCTTTCTTTACAATCTTATTTTTGTGAACTTCTGGTTTGGTTATTTATTGGTGGCAGAAAGTATCTGAACATATGCATCGGTGTGCTGAACTTTTGCAACAAAGAACTTCAGATGCAGCAAAAAATGCACTTGGAACTATCGATGAGGCCTTGTCTATCAGCTGCTATTCAGAAAAATTACTTGAAATGAAAGGAGAGGCTCTTTGCATGGTTTGTGCTATTATAGATTTCGAATTTCTTTTCTTTTCGAACTAGGTAACTTTTGAATCATTCAAACTTATAGCTACTTGGTTCTGAATTATCTGTGTCATTACTTTAATATTCTACAGCTGCAGATGTATAATGAAGTGATTGAGCTATGCGAGAATACTCTTGATATTGCTGAAAAGAATTTTACCTCTGACTTTGCAAACTTGAATGATTTCAATTGCAAAAGCTCCTCTATGAAGCTTTGGAGATGGCGCCTCATGTCCAGGTCGTACTTCCATCTTGGAAAGTTTGAGGTGGCTCTTAACTTAATTGAGAAACAAGAGGAAGTGGTTTCTGTTGGGAAAAGGTAAATTCGAACTTCTAGAAGCACTTTCAACTCTCTTCCTCTTCTTAATTTCAGGGATGATATTGAGAATTTTGCTCCTCTTTTCTGTAGATCTGGAAACATGACCCAGGAATCATCATCTGCTCTAGCAGCCACTATCCGTGAACTTTTGCGTTGCAAGGTATGTCACCTGTTATTTAGGTATCTATGTGGTAATGGGTTGACCAAAATTACTGATCATTATTTCTTCGTCGGTGTATTGTTAGAATTTAACTGGTTCTTGCTAGTGGTTCTTACAGCTTGAATCTGTGTGTCAACTACTTGCTTTTCTGAAGAAGTTCATTGTTTTCCTCTCCATATACAGAAAGCAGGAAATGAGGCATTTAAGTCTGGAAAGTATACGGAAGCAATAGACCATTATAGTGCCGCTATATCCAGCGGCGTTGAGTCGCGTCCTTTTACAGCTATCTGTTTCTGCAATAGAGCGGCTGCTCACCAAGCTCTTGGTCAGATTGTTGATGCCATTGCAGATTGCAGTGTTGCCATTGCTCTTGATAAGAACTACACAAAGGTTTGTTTGCTCAAAGGTGTCTCCACTATTTAAACACTGATCAACAATAAGGACGATTTATTGTGTCTCCACTATTTAAACACTGATCAACATTAACTGCGCAAGATTTTTCGGAAATTTTAGTGTTTTTTCAGCTTAAGTTAACATGCCCCTGTCCCTTTGTGGAAGATAACTTTGAAAGTAAAAATGGTAGTAATACTTGCCAAAGTTGCGGGGTCAGTTTAGATTGCTACTCCTCTCAGTTGTAGTTATCATGGATGCTCTACTCTTGATTCAGACACAATTTTAGTGTTGATATTTTATAGGAGGGCTGCTGCTCGAGACTCTAACATAGTTATGCTGTCCATACTGCCACAGTTATATTAGTTATTTGTGTCCGAAATTGGAGTTTTACCTAATCTGATTGGTCTTCTGAATTTGGCAGGCAGTTTCAAGGAGGGCTACCTTACATGAAATGATTAGAGACTATGAGCATGCTATAAATGATCTTGAGAGGCTCATATCCCTTCAGGAGACTCAATCACAAGAAAGGACTCGACAATCTGAGGCGCTAGATAAGTCAAATGGAAGCAGTGCTAAAGAAGCAAAGCGAACTCGTCGACAGATTTTGTCAATTCAGGAGAAGGCTAAAAGAGGGACTCCATTAGATCTTTATCTTATCTTGTAAGTTCAAATCTCCTAATTACTGTTGAATATCTTCATAAATATGATTTGGTCCACCAAAACACTTCCCAAGGAAAATAAATGAATTGGAGGCAGCTCGTAAAAGTGCCGAGGATTCCCATTCTTTACTTGGTTATTTAATATTTCATCATTTCCAGGTCGAATGTCCTTGTTTCTTCACTGTCCTTGTATTACGTAACACTTCCAAATGAAAGATTTCTTTTCATTGTACTAGAATCATATGTTATCCCCTGTTTCTTATACTTGAAATCTTTTAATGTAGTTCCTTTATTGTTCTTATTTCACCTTTTGAGGTCAAATTTTAAGTGTAATCTTGCATTAATCATTACTCTCTCCGCCCCAATTTATGTGGTTGACTAGGCACAAAGTTTTAGAAAGAAAGAAGACTTTTGAAACTTGTGGCCTAAAACAAACCTTAGATATTTGTGTGGCTATAAATTATATTTAAGGGTAAAAGTGTAATTTAAAGTTAAATTGTTTCTACATATAAAAAAGTGACATTCTTTTTGGGACAAACTAAGAAGGAAAGAGTGTCACATAAATTGGGACATAGGGGGTATAATATTTGTGTCTCCACTATATTTCTACATATAGAAAAGTGACATTCTTTTTGGGACAAACTAAAAAGGAAAGAGTGTCACGTAAATTGGGACATAGAGAGTATAATATTTGTGTCTCCACTATATTTCGAACAAATTCCACAGAGTGGTGTCTGGAAGAAGGAAACATTGTGATAAACATTGAGGGGATGATCCTAAAGATGCTATTTCATGAAGGAGCGGGCCTTTGTCACATAGAAAATAGATACTGCCATCTTTGTATATAGTCTGTGAAAATGCTTGTTCTGCTTTATGTGGTTGGTACAGTACTTCTCTCATATAAATTGTGCATTAACTTCTTGCATTTGATGTTGTATCCTTCACATTTTATGAATAAGTTTCCTCTGTTAAAAACTATCACAAGTTGAGAAACCTAGTTCTGCATTGACATCTACCAGATTCAAATAGTCAATGTTCTGACTTGAAGATCTTGCATCTGCTAGATGATACTCCGGTGTTGTAGTTAGCTGGATCTAGTGTATACCTCTTGTAACCTTTGATCTCTGAACATCTGTGAAATATTCTCTGCATTTTAGATGTTAGTGATCTTGAATTCTCTCTGGCAGGGGAATCAAGTCATCTGATACGGAATCTGACATCAAGAAGGCATACAGGAAAGCAGCCCTGAGACATCATCCTGACAAGGTCCAAGTCTTAAGCTTTTCGAAGTTTAGAGGTTGAGTTAATAGTTGCTTCTGTACTCATTTTATATTGCTTATGTAGGCGGGTCAAATTTTGGCAAGGAGTGATGCTGTGGATGATGGAGGGTTGTGGAAAGAGATCTCTGAGACTGTTCGCACGGATGCTGATAGGCTATTCAAATTGATTGGGGAGGCATATGCTGTACTCTCAGATTCCGACAAGGTACAGTAACACGATTACATTTTTGTTTGTTATGCTCAACAATGATCATATGCTTCTCATTGAGGCAAGTCTGATACCTATATCCGCACCCTTATCAGATACTGCACCTTACTCTATGTAATGTCGTTTTGAAAATAAGTTCCTAGAATAGTACAGTATGATTTTGTTACTTACTTAAAAAACAATAGTATGATTATTAAGTATGTTGAAAAGCATTTGTTGCAGAACCAACTAGGAAAAGACCTAATATAGCTCATATTCGTCAATCAGAAGAAATATCGTACGACTGTTTTGGTTCAATTTAGAGATGATTGATTATGAAGTATTCTGGACATCATTCTTGGGAAAGCTCTATCTCATTAATATATAATTCCCCTTCCCTTCATTTCCAATAGTGTCATTCTTTTATGTGCAAGATTCCATTTTGGTCATTGTGACTTGTCTGATACTCCCTCCTCTCTTTTGTATGACCTACTCTTTCAGGAGTTGGAAAAAAATAACATTTGAATGAACTATACTATGATGAGAATATTTGAATGATATTTTAATGAATTTGGTAAATATATCTTAAAGTAATGGTTGAAAATGTGGAAAAGGAATAAAAATGTCACTTTAGCAGTATTGTATAATAAACATTTGTTTTTTCTTGACTTTGCCATGTAAGGAAGGATATCATATTTTTGGGACAAACGAAAAGGGATGTAGGTCAGATAAATTGGGAGAAAGGGAGTATTTTTTTTTTGCTATGTGGGCAAGTAAATTTTGTATTATTTCCATGTTGCAGCGTTCAAAGCATGATTTAGAAGAGGAAATGAGGGATGTTCAAAGGGACAGTATGAGAAACAGTGATTCTTGCAGACCATCTGATTCTTACTCTTCTCCATTTGAGAGGACCAACTGGTCTAGGAGACAGTCTAACTTTTACAGTTCTCCATTTGGAAGAAGCAGTAGCAAGCGCTATGGACAGGAGTATTGGAGAACCTATGGAGAGTCACATCCACGATGGTAAAAGATATGTACGCCTATGGTACTTTTACATATCTCTAGAATTAGAGATGGTGCCTGCAGCTCTGTACAAAGATGAAGCTTTGATTAGTTCGGCTCCTGCTTGTCCAGTGGAGCTGTCGGACGATAATTGGCAATAAGAGCTGTATATTTATGAATTTACTTGCGACCAAGACATGTCATTGAAGAAGTTGCTTGTGCAGTCACACATGCAATGTTGCAAGGCACATCAGGATGTTCAGTGACTCTGGTCGAGGAAGATGGAAATGCCTATTTCCTTGAACCCGTAATTTCATATCGTGGAAGCACTCGAGTTTGAGTAGATTCATTGTGATAGAGGCCTGCAGGTATCTGTGAACACGATGTATTAGTATAATCCCTCAAATGGCAATTCAACCGTCATTTCAACTGGTTGATATTGAGAATAAAGTTCAGACCAACTTTCTAGAGCTGCTGCAAAATGCTCAGCCACGAGAGAATTTAGCGCAAATTTCAGTTGCATGCATGCAGCCATTATTTCAGATGTATATTTTTATGTAATTATATGCTGCTCATTCAGGTCGATGATTATTTTGGAAAATCGAATGATAGCCTTTTTGTTTTAATCTTTTGGTTGCCTAAGGTCTAAAAGTTACTCCCTCCGTTTCCAATTAGATTAGGTGCTTTCTCTTTTACTCAGTTCCAAAATAAATGGTACATTTCTAAATTCGGAAATAGTTCAATTTTAAATTTTTCATTTTACCTATATTATCCTTAATGAGAATCTTTTATAATCACGCAAATGTCATTGCTTCACAAAGATTTTACCCTTAAGCTTTTAAGATCACAAGTTCTAAAAGTCTGCTTTATTTTTCTTAAATTCTATGTCGAGCCTAACTACCTCATCTTCATTTAATTGAAATGAAGGGAGTATGTTTTAGGAGTTACTGCTGAGAGAACATCAACTAAAAGTTGAGAGAACTCAGATGAAATCATTTTTGCAAAATGGAAATGTCGGGTTGGACCATGGAATTGTAGTCCTCTTTGGTAAGAAGCGTTAAAATGATTTTCCCCCTCAATATCCACATTTGGCCTGCAAAATTCGCAGAAATGTGTAATTTTTAGGAGAATTTCAAAAACATGCAAAACACATTCGTGGAATGTGACTTAAGGATAAATCATAACGGAAAGATTCGACAGAACTGTTATTATACATGTCATGTGTCACATATGTTGAATGTTGCTATTTATAAGTCGCATATGCTAAATGTAATTGTTAAGTCGCATTTGCCAAATAAGTATTTTAAGTTTTATTTTTTAAATGTGTTTTACGTTGGCTAATGACACCTCATTCGTTATATATAATTTTTCCCACCATAATTTTAGCTTTTCTTTTGTAACTGGATAGAGAGCATAGAATGATTTCTTTATCAAATAAATAAAAGTTTCTTCTAGAAAGAGGAATGAGTTATCCTTCAATGTAAATTCAATTGATAAAGGATTATTGAGTACAAATATGCATTAGTGAATTTCTACATGTATCCAAGAAATTGTCAATCATTAATTATATAAGGTATTACCATCAGAGGAGAAGCCTTTTTATTTATTTTATAAGTCATTCTCTATCAAAGAATAATAAATGAAGAGTTAAATTTCTAACGAAAATTTATATATAAATAACAAGGAAGTCCAAAACATAAATCGAGAGACGAGAAAAAACTGAAGCGAACAAAAGAATTCGACCTTTAAATCACAATTATTAAAAGCGACTTATATGTAGCAATTATCAACGTAAATCGCAATGGTAAATGCAACTAGGGGCGGCAAACGAGCGCAGGGCCGGATATGGGACATGTCAAAGAAGGGTAATGTAAAAACGGATAAATTATCTGACTCGACCGTATTTTATACAGATAAAAAATGGGTTAACCGGCGAATAATATGAATATCTATATTATCTATGGCTTATTGAATATTATCACTTTTGGGAGAATTCCTAGTCTCCCAAACTTGAGGAACTCATTGGTTATCCATTTTCTAAATGGATAATATGGTTCTTATTCATATTCACAGTGGCGGTTCCAGAATTTTAAAGTTATGGGTGCTCGCCGATAAAAATTCTAAAAGAAGAGGAAAAACAAGTTTAATTGTGGGTGGTCACTCAATATTTATCTAAATATTTTTATAATTGCCTATGTAAATTTACTAAATCTGGTCAAAAATAATGGGTGCTTGAGCACCCACAAGGAACAATCTGGATCCGCCACCGCATATTCAACCCGTTTTTAAAAAGTTCATTATCCAACCCATTTTTTAATGGATAATATGGGTGGATAATTTTTTTCTTTTATCCATTTTGCTACCACTGAATGCAACTATGCATACCGGACTTATAGATCGGAGTTGGATAATGAGACTTATACCGCATCATATAAAACGTAATCATTGAATACGACTTATAATTCGTATCTGAACACAAAGAGACAAATGCGATTCATATATTGCAATTTATAAATGATATATACATCGCGTTGGTCAATTGAAAATTGCCTCTATAGTCCTCAATCCCTTGTTAAGTTATAAGAAGGGCAAAAGGGGAAGTGCCATTTGAACCAGAAGATCAAATTACAAGAACCAATTAATACTCAAAATTATCTCCAATGGAAAATAAAAACACATGCACAGTATAAACTAAAACTAAACATATTCATATGTCGGTTTAATTTGGTCTTTTCCTGTTTAATACCACCAAATCAAACCATATACATATTGATTTGATATCTACCTTACATTTGATTTTTCGATTTTTCTCAACTCCCCTATGTTTGATTTTCCATGAATTTTTCGTGGCTTTCATTTACCAAATCGTAGTCAAAACTCTATTATTTAATGGGAGAATTACACACTAGTACAATTCATACACATATATTGCAATTAGTTAGCCCAGTTACAGCTTTACAAATTTATAGCCCAAAGATAAAAGACTAAGGTCCTAAAAAAGCTTTTTTCCATCACCAACTACTGCTATTATTCCTTCTTTATAAATTCCTACGCTTCGCACAGATTTCAATTGAAACAACCAACTTCAATGGTGGCATTTAAATTCTGAAAACACATAAGGCTTTTATATTTGAATTTGCTTTCTTAATGTAAAATTGTATATAAGTGGAAGCAGTAGAAACATCTACAATTCTAGAGGAAACTTAGACTGTTTAGATGATAAAATGAGAATAGTGATATATTTTAGAACCATTAATGTTATTGAAGGATCTTTGTCAAATCTTATATTTGTTTCTTCCCCAAGTTTCAAATGGTAGAAATCAAAAAATAAAAAAAATAAAAATTGCTGCAAGTTTGAAATATAGCAGAAAAATACAAATAAGTTGATTTTATACATAGATTTTTCGAGAAAAAGTAAGAATAAAATACAAACATTTCAATTTTAGTTTTAATTGTACATGTACATTATATATATATAATAATGTATAACTTATCAAACTTTCATGGAGGCCAATTATACACACAACATTGCATAATGAAAAAATTATATTTATATAACATTATACATAAATATACATATTTATACATATTTATACACAAATATACACACTTATACATATTTATACACAATTATACATAATTTATACAATATTGTATAAGTATGTATAAATATCAATTATACAAAATTTAAACTAGAAAACATCTTATGTCCATCACCACACCTCTATTTTAACACCAAAAATTTGCCTCACCAATTAATAATATCATTATTAATTAACACCCATCCAAATTGAAGCACGAAGTCACAGTATTATTTGAATTAAAACATTTCAAAACATTCGAGTCGGTGTTTTGAGAACCCAGCAGTAGAATCGAAAATTTTTCGTCCAAAATTCTTCACACAATTGAGTTTAATACACAGGGACATCCATGGCCTATATCATGGAGCTTTGAACTTCAACGAAGATGGCTTTTTCAGATCTAAAACTACAATTCAAATTCAAAGGATACATCTTTGTGGTGTGACAAAGAAAAAATGAAATAGGTAAGAAAATATTTTCTGTGAAAAGATAGGAACAGAGAGTAATGGAAGACGATGATAAGGGAAGGGGTTCTGATGGAGAAGATGATGGAAAGAGTGATGAGGCAGCGAAGAAGACAAGAGAAAAGAGGGAAAGTCTTTTCATCATTTATTTTGTCTTGTTAGCAACTATAAGGGCTAAAGGGTGAAATAATTTTTATATATCATATACATTGTGGGCTAGTTTTGGTAGTATTTAAAAATATGGGTCAATTTTGGTAGCATCATGGTATCAATTGTTTTTGAGCGTAATTTTTCCTATACAATGTGGGTTAGTTTTGGTAGCATTTAAAAATATGAGCCAATTTTAATTCCATCATGATATCAATTGTATTTGAGCGTAATTTTTCCTTATTTAATTGAGCACGACGTGATCTGCCAGTCGCTATCCTTCTTAAAAAAATAAGTGAAATTTCTTGCCTAACTCCAAGTAAATGCACAATTTAAAATGCGAGACTATGGAAAAAATATCCCCTACTTTTTATAATTCGAACTCTTAACGTGTGCAAATTTACATATTGTCGTGTTGCATACAACAACAACGTAAATCCCGCACGTAGGACCTGGGGAGGGTAGAGTGCACGCAGATCTTAACCCTACCCCGAGGGAGTAGAGATGTTATTTCCGGAAGACCCTCGGCTCAAGAAGACGAAAAGAGAAATAATTTATCAGTACTATCGACAGAAAATAATAGAAATACTGACAACAACATAAGAACCAGAGAATAGATGCAAAGCACTAACAATACTCCGTAGATAAGGTCTGGCACAAAGAAAAACAGTAGAATAGTGTGAACACAACTTGAACCACTAGCAGTCTAAGACAAAACCCTATGAGACTAGCCTCACATCTGTAAAAAGAAAAATTGTAGAATAGTGTGAATACAACTTGAACCACTAGCAGTCTAAGACAAAACCCTATGAGACTAGCCTCACATCTGTACAAAGAAAAACAATGTTCAACTACCTCCTAACCTACAACGCTAATGCTCGACCTCCACACCTTCCTATCAAGGGTCATGTCCTTGGAAATCTGAAGTCACGCCATGTCCTGTCTGATCACCACTCCCCAATACTTATTAGGTCGCTCGCTACCTCTCATCGTACCTGCCAAAACCAACCGCTCGCGCCTCCTTAGCGGGGCATCTAAGCTTCTCCTCTGTACGTGCCCGAATCATCTGAGCCTTGCTTCTTGCATCTTGTCATCCATAAAGGGCTAAATTAAATGAAATATGTTCTTTTTATACATATGTTTAGAAAGCACTTACCTAAGTTTCTATTTTTGCAAAATAGAAGGATAGGCAAAAATCTCAATTTTAATTGAAAGTTGCGTTCTTATCACTGAACCAAAGCTCTGGTGGCAAATGGAAGATCAATATTTATCAAAATAACAAATCATAAAATTGATAATACAAAACTCTATTTTTACTATCAAGTACTGCATAAGGCTGGCTAATGTGGCTATTACAAGAGACTGATATCTCAGTCCAACCAACTAAAGATATATTACAAACCAAACAATCAGAAGCATATTGTCTCAAAAACCAAATAAAAATAACAACAATTTACAAGAGGAAATT